GATACTAAGTATCACTGAAGAATTCATTATACGAATGTGCATGAGTAAAGTGATTGGTTAAAGGGTTACTTTTTATATGTGGCTTAATCTGTAACAGGGATTATATGTAATTTGAATTTAACTATTATATGTAAACATAAATCATTTTGAAACTATTTGGTAATTCCATAATTAAGAAAATTAGTAAAAATAATCTGAGCATAAAACCTTTATTCAACACATTCAATTTAGACTTACTTCTTCATTACATGAGAGTAGAGTGAACATAACTGCAAATAATTGAAGCATAAATACAAAAGGTAATTAAATATTGTTTAAACGAATACATCAAATAAGAGCAATTCTACACCGATTATAAAAAATCTCGGACCTATAGATTAGTTTGTCAACCTGAAGAGAGAAGTCACAGCAAAGAAGAAAGCAAGAAAAACTTCAATTTTCGGTACCAGTATTTAGTATCGGTATAGTATACAGTATAAGTTTATAGTAGTATAGTACCAACAAATATGGTATATACCAGTACAACGCATTTATGATATGAATTCTCATAGCTGCCTAAAGATTACAATACGTCATACATAGTCCTTTTAAAACATATAAATGGGTAACAGAAGGTTGTCATGAAAGAGTTCTGAGAAGATTTACATTTTCTGTAATGAATTTATGTTATATTCGATGTTTATTCTAAACCCTTCAAAGCACTTTCCTTTGACATTATGCGAAATATAATATTATATTGTTGCAAAACATCTGTTTATTTGAATTTACTTTTTTTTTTGTTTGAGTTTAGGAAAAAAAGACATTGAGATTTAGTCATACAACCCAAACTTTTTTAAAACTCAATTCCCATAAACTATATAACATTACTATTTTCTCAGCAACTTGGGTAATAATAAATCTTCCATGGGCAAGCTTTATCTGCCTAATTTTATAAATATCTTCGTCGCACTGTTAGAACTTCAAGCGATATACAATTTCTTCAAACTCTTTTTTGGAAGATTTTGCATTGCGTATAAACTAAGATCCAATATTTTGCTATATAAAAAAAAACACGTACACTACTATGATATGCGGTTTGTGTCTTGTCGATATTGGCGAGCTATGCTTCTTCAAAAACATCAAAACTGCAATTGTGACCGTCACTATTCATGTTGAATAACTTATTAATTGCAAAAAATGTGAATATTATATAGAAAGAATTTGATATCAACAAAATGGTTCCAAATGTAAAACTTCTAAGATAACCACTACTATAATATATTCTATTAATTAAAATATAACATAATGAATAATTAGCCTTATCAGAAACTAGGCAAAAAATTGTGCAAACACCGAGAAAATGCGGTGAAAAAGTAGAGGTCTGTACAAATCGATAATCACAAAAGCATGACTTGAAATGCCAACTTAAAAGGTACCCTTCTTGAAGTAATGCGAAATCGGATCCAAGAGGAATTAAGTCTCGCAGAAGAATGGGTGTTTTAGTCCATATACTACATATTAACGTTAAGGAGTCAAACACACCATTTCACATCCTCACCACAAAAAAAAAAAATAATAAAATCACATAATGAATTCAAAAAAGGGGTCGTCATACTATCTAGCGACAGATATTGGAGGTACTTTCTGGAGGAGTACTGGACATGGATGAGCTATGTAGACAAATCAACCATTAGAACCAGTATTTGTTAAAATCAACCTAAAATAATTGAAAAATGGTGAAAGACATATACTCTTATATAGAGTTCCTCAGAGGTTAATCGATGACATATGTAATTAAATCAACCGGGACTTGAAATTGATCATCTACATGTACAAATCAGTCATGATAATCACTATTCATAAGTATCCGTTTCAAATAATTAAAAAGTGACGATAAATTGGTACACCTGTATATAGTTTGTAAGCCGTTAATGTAGTGTCCGTTTGTCCAAAAGAATTTCTCACATATTTTTCCAAAAACTTATCACCCGTTTGAAAAGAAGAGACTTCATTTATTTTTATGTATTCTATTTTAATTCAAATGTCTACACCTTTTAAGAAAACATCAATATATACACATATAGATTTATATTACTAACACAGTTTTTGGAACCAACTCTGATTTTCGATACCATAAAGTATTGTAGATATTAGTAGTCAATAGTCCTACTTTCAAAAATAGAAGCGGCAAACAGAAAAAAGGAATCGAAATGGAATACTACTAATATGTCATCCTAGTTATTGTACAGAAAATTCAGTTTCTTTACATAATTTTTACATTTATAACTTTGACCAATCCTTTTTTCCTCTATATAAATCTATAATTATCTGATAATAAAAGTACACTGATCAAAAATGCTACGAATACTCTAGAAAACTTATATAAGTATTGCCAGCTAAAAACAAACCATTAGAAATAGTAACTTACAAATCGTTTTTTGTAGTTCAATTTAATTAAAACCGAAATAGTCCGAAATGTGATAATTCATAGAGTCTACAACTAAAGCAACTTCTTATATACATCCACGTATGACATATAATTTTAAAAAAACTTCTTAAATTTTTACTAAAAATTTTTTTTACATTTATGAATAAAAACTTTTTTGATACATTTTTTGGCTTTTCCTTTACGAGAATAAAGTTTGGAGCATTTTATCTTCATACCATCGACACCAATTGAATACTGGAATTGGTACGAAAAATCTATTTAAAAATCGTTTTGGCTTCATGGATTTCAGTTGAAACTCATATTTACATTTTTTTTTTGCGAAACAAACAGTGTTAATGTATGAAAAAAATTTAAAAATGCGGAAATGATACGAAAAGTTAGGGATTCCACATTCAGAAGGTTTATGAGGCATCGTGGCGTCAAAATGGAAATTTACTTGTCTCACACAGTCGAGGAAATTCGCTATGCATTTTTGGATATCGTAGTTTTTAAATATACAAATTTTATTTATGTCTGAAAATTTGTGGAATATATTCAACTTTTAGTACATTTTAAGTACATCGAATGTGAACCGAATACTTACAATTTGGACAAAGGAGTAATTATTACAAAGGCCTTCTTATTATTATGTTGATACTAGTTGATTCAGTGCTCTTGAGCACTTTTCTCTCTATTGACTGCGAGATTTCTTCATAACCCCTCTCTATGCCTTCAGATTAAGCAAAAATTAACCTCAGATCTGCATACCTCCCAGAGGAGCCTGCAAGCATTCTGAGAATCGATAACGCAGTGTTGGCAAGCCTATCAGTTTTTGTGAATAATTTTAGGCCTTCTTATAATGTCTTTAGTTTGAATATGTTTGCTTACATATTCACACCATATATTCAAAGGATGTGAAAACCAACTATCTGTGTTTATATAGTTTATATGTGATACAAATTCCCAGATCCACTAAAATAACCTTGAGTCTTTGACAGAATATATGAAGTTATTCTAACAAACCGACTATACATTAAGACTGAAAAGTTTTCGGAAATTCTCATTTAAAATTCGCGCGCTGTATATTTTTCGATATTTTAAGTTTATGTAGTTTGGCAGCACTGTCCTTAATTACTATGCCAAAAATGAGCGCGATCTGTCAGACAGTTCGTTTACGGCAGCTGTTGAAACCAGTTCCCCTCAGTAGTGCGTTGCGAAATGTCTTCGACGGTCGTACGACCGTCCTGAAAGGCTTTGTACCACTCATAAACTTGAGTTTTCGATAAAACTGATTCCCCATAAGCCTTTTGTAGCATTCGCAACGATTCTGCACACGAAATTTCGTTCGAAACACAAAATTTGATGCAAACTCTTTGTCCAATATTTTTTTCCATTGTTTTTTTCGCAACGCCCTACTGAGGTGAACTGGTTTCAACAGCTGCCGTAAACGAACTGTCTGACAGATCGCGCTCATTTTTGGCATAGTAATTAAGGACAGTGCTGCCAAACTACATAAACTTAAAATATCGGAAAATATACAGCGCGCGAATTTTAAATGAGAATTTCCGAAAGCTTTTCGGTCACAATGTAACAAAGAGTTTGAATTAAGTTCCAGACTTGTAAGCTACTACCTATAACTTAATAAAATCAAATAAGTTGAAAGTAAATTTAAAAAAGCATTTATTTAAAAAAGTGCTACAGCTCAAGACGTCCTTTATAGTGCAATGAAATCTATGCGTGAAATCACAACTGAGCAGTAGCAACATCTATAAAAGGCTAAAGATCAAATATGATAGTAATTTGAACCACTTCCATAAAGTTGATAACAAATGGATGTTTGGGTTCAGCGGATCGAATTTCTAACTGAGAACTCCGAACGATACAAATCTTCACTGAACCATTTGAGGTTTAAGCTTCTTATTTGGAACTGAAAATTAGATCACAATTAATTTTATCACAAATTGCAGATGAAAAAAAGGCAGATGAGGCAGATGAGGCAGATGAGGCAGATGAGGCAGATGAGATTTTACATATAGTGGAATAGTCGAGATTGATGACGAAGAAAATGAGATGAATGAAGGGATATAGAAATATTTTAAATATCAAATTCTAAATTCTACATCACTAGCAGATATTTTTGTAACAGTATTTTTAAATTTGAACAAATTTACTTAAAAAATGTTGTAAGTTGTATTTTGTCGCATTCTCCCTTGAATATCGAAGCTAAGCTTTTGGCTCATCCTTTCGTGCGTATTTATGAGTGTTGGTAACACTGAAATAAAAATAATGGATTACTCGTAAAGGATTCACACATTTTTTGTTCAGTGACTTCTTTATTTCTCTTGTAATAATTTTTTCTTTTATAAGTGCATAAAAAATGTATAACTTGGATTTTTATTTTTTCCATTCCATATCCTCTTAATATTTTTATTATTATGTGGAAGAAAAAATTTCCAAGCAATAAATTTTTATGTGCAAATTAGCGTATATCAAAAAATTACATATTTTTGGAGCATTTTATCGCGATGAAAGTTTTTTTTAATACGAATTATTCAAATTTTTTTTTTTTTTTTAATTTTTAATTTTATTTTAGGATGCTGTGGTTTGCCTTTATATGTGTTGCACTATTCAGTATCATGTCACTGAGCAAACGTACTTGGGAGCGCTTTCAAACCTCCCCAATGGTCATATCAATGGATCGGAATAAATTGGTTTGGAATACCAGTTTTCCATCGCTTACAGTTTGTCCACATAAGCGTATCGATGAACTTAAAGTGGAAGAATATATAGAGTAAGTACAAATATTGGAATATAATTCTGAAGTAAAAAATCAGTAGTGCATTTATAACAATCATATTATAAGAAACATATTACATATTCACAGTAATATCTTTAAACCGTATATGTAAAGAGATATATCTATTTTAGTGTTAATAACAAATAATAGGATCTTAACAGGACCCTGGGTCAGGAACGGGATCAGCATAGTAAGCACATATAGTGGATAGTAGATTAGCACAATCTCAAGGAGTAGAAAATTACCAGCAAAGTGCTACATCTTCCTCATTAACAAAATGCTATCAAGCAGCTGTTTGTAAATTGAATTCAATCAGTAATTTTTAGGAAACTTTTAGGAAATGGCATTAATTATTAGCATTAATAGACAGTATTTGATATTTTCCAATAACAAATCATAAATAAAAAATTATTTAAATCCAATACTCAAATACTGTGAGCGAACATATCTATTGGATTAACGATTTTTCTAAAACGACCATTTTTCTATCGTTATATAAAACAATTTAAATCCTTTAAACTAGAAACGTACCAGTCAATTACTTCAACTAAAGCATAACATACTCAACGGATCGGTATCGGTACTGATTTGTAGTGGCTGTAAGGTGCAAACTATATTTCATTTTATGTGCCGGAACCCAAGTTTGACTAGAAGAAAATTTAGTATCTTTAGGGCCCCTTTTTCACTAACTTTACAAAGATGTTATCCTCGAAATAAAGGTCATAGCAAAGATTATAGATCGATAGGTTGGATCTCTTTTATTTAAGAGGTGAGACGAATCTGTTCTACTCCTCGGACAAGCAAAGTCCACATTCTTATCTGTGATACCACAACAGGTCATTATTTTTACTTAAATAATATTAACAAATTAATATAAAACTTTTGACCGAACAAGCCCTTGTTGAGAGTATTATAGTTGACTGATAATAATTCTCCGCCTAAGGGTGTTTTATGTACTATACTTCCAAGAAGGCAAGTAAACAAGAAAAGATCAATCTTATCGTTAAAAATAACAGAAATAAAACTTTCGGGATAGGTACAAAATTCATCGTATTCGGGAAACTCAGACTTCTCGAGTACGACGATTCAACAATGTGTTCTAATGTACCGACATGGCTTACTTATTGAAATACTGAGGTCTAATTTTGTAATCTTTTTATATTAATTATACTAAAAAAATATTATATAAACCAAAGGACGAAAGACTTAGTAGTTTCAGTGTTAATTCACAAATAAATAAATATAAACAAATATTGATTTATAACAAGTAAATGTACCAAATGGTAAGTCTAATAATTCTCGGTATTTTTAATATAAAAATATTTTACTTCGAGTCTTGTGATGAAGTTTGATCAAAATGGGCATTCCCGGAAAGTCAAAATCGTACCAACACTGTTTGTGATTTGTCTTATTTAATTAAACATTTAAAATTTATAGTTTTAGTTATAAAAACTTAGTTTCTTAGTTATTAAGAAACATTTTTAAATAATTCCCATTCAATTTCAACTTGCACTTATTCACAAGTACATCTTTACATACATACTGTTGAACTAAAATATTTTTATGTACTTATGATATGTAATATTTTTGTCTTAGATTGCATCCTGAAAGTTTTGAAACCGAGGAGGACAAGGACGATTTCCGCATTTTTATTGAAAAACTTGCAAGTCTCTCTTATGATAATATTGAAACTTTACCATTAAACAAGACATTCGGTATTGCTAGTGAAAAATATTTGGAGTTATTGTACGAACTTAAATGGAGTTTTGAACCGGAATTGAGTAGCGGCGCCGCAGTTAAAATGTTTATCTACGAAACATTAACGGAGTTTGGTATATGTCATTCAGTTAATTCTCTAGTAGCGCGTTACAATTCATTTGAGTAAGTTGAATAGCTTATCTATATAATATGCATATATATTTATATATATATATATATATCATGGACGTGTATAGAGACTTATATAAACCAGGGATTTACTTTGAAAACTAATTCAAAGGTTAAAGAATATCCCAAATCCTCAAGAATATATATTTACAGCCCCAGTAAAATATATTCATTTTGCATGATTTTTCTTTTTAACAGATATTGGAAAAAAAATATGTGGAATTTACTTGAACACGGTGATCGCGTTACAGTACATCCTTTAGATGGCGAAATCTATGCACAAATCATAAATCTCTCAACAGCATATGATGTTTACTTTCATTCGGCAGGTGATATACCAAATATATCTAAGCAACGCTACACATTTCCAGAAAGTGATTATACCACAGTTGAGTTAATAGCTTTAGAAATTTACACTGCAGAAGAGGCTCGTGCGTAAGTCATTAAGATATATATCGATAACATTTAGTAGCTTAGAAATATTTAAACTATAATCCATATAATTATGTAGATTTACAACAAAACAACGTAAATGTCGTTATCAATACGAAGCTGAAGACATGTTATCGGCCCCCATCTATAGTTTTGGACTCTGTTTAGCTGAATGCCGAATGTTTTTTTCAATGAAAATTTGTGGTTGTGTACCACATTTTTACCGCAATCGGTGTAAGTGTAATTGCGCAATATATATGTAAAAAATTTTATTGGATTTCTTTAATTGGTTTCTTGATTAAACAGCATTAGAATATATATTTTTTAAAAGCATTTGTAATAATATCATTTAGTTGAGAAATCAGAGATTGAAAGTGGCTTTGGAAAAATAAACAATCATGTAATAGAGGGACTATATGTTTATGGATACTTTTGGAAATATCTATACAGTGTGAGATAAACAATAATACCCAGTTCTATATATTGCAGAACCAACGAGAACGATGCTGAGCAGACTTTCTTTAAATGCGAAAAATGAAAAGATGTAAAACAAAATAAGAAGAAATATGACTCATCACTCTCGAAAACGTCATTGGAAAAATATAGACACAAGCAGAAAACTGAGAAAAATGAGAAAAATAGTCGAAAATGTGCTCCAAAGTTGAAATAAAAATGAAAAAAAGTTCTGGAGATCCTGTCTAAAAATTTTATTTTGATAATTCTAATATAAAATAGGTCCGACTATCGGGATGATTCTTTTCAGTTCTCCAAGTCGATTACTGTTCACTACTGCAACGACACATGACTATACGTTAAGTATTTGTCAATCTCCTCTCCACAACACAAAATTAATTATATTCAATTATTTGTTTCAAAGTTGATCCATATAAAACATTGTTTTAACATATCATAATATATCAGCATATCTATTTCGTCATATGTAATAAATATCAGAAATATCCTCAAATAGTTACCAAGATGTTTTAAAAATCTACAAATTAAAGTGTTTCTGGTTTTTTATCTGATGTATATGTATAGAAAATATTCAATGTTAATTGATAAGTGCAACCGTTCTCTCCGTTACCCCCCATTATAATTGCAGTTTTTAACGAAGTATTCGAATAGTACTTCTTTCTGAGGCCTAATTGTTTATTTTTTAATATTAAAATCTACTGTATTGACACTATTTAAAATTAATTATAATAATTATAAGAAGTGAAGATATCGTCAAAATCATCATATTTTTTTCATTTTATAGATATTAAATTACAAAAAAAAATTTTTTTTTATTCAGTAAGAAACGGACGAATATTGCCAGTATGCGGTCTGAAAGGTATAGCGTGCTTGTCTGACATTAAAAGTAAGTTAAATAAGTAATACTCTTACAATATATACATCATACAAAGGAATCAAGAAACCGGCTAATGAATAGAATATATTAATTTTTAGGTGATATAATTTCACTTAAATCGGAAAAATATAAAATCGATTGTAGATGCCTTTCGAATTGCGATGATTCCAATTTTTTCGTACAGTCGTATGTAAGTAAAAAAGTTTTTTAAAATTATTTCCAAAAATTTAACATAAATATATACATAGTTTCTATTAAATATTTACTATAATATTGATATATTCACTAGATATTGTACATAAGACTGAATATACTCATAAGAACTAATCTACTTAAAATCGCAATCAAGCAATCGTGAATCGCAACGATTGACGATATTGTTGTCTATTATGAACCATTTTAAAAGCTAGTATTACAGATGAAAAATCCCAGAAAAACATGCCTAAAGTCACATATAACACTAAAAAACACATAAAGCGTGCGTTGAAAGCGTGACTAGTGTGAACAGGCTTTAAAGATTGTTCTGTCTTATTTGATACTTAGAATAAATTTGATGTTTGCAATATTTGTGTTTAATAATAAAAAATAAATCTTTGGTTATTTAGCATCATCATGGACTCTAAAAATATGTGTTTATTTCTACACATAATTTTGCATCCACATTGGCTTGTTTTTTTAGCAAAATTTTTGCATAAAACCTTACTTTTTAATTATACATTAGAAATTTTTGCTGACAAAATTTGAAAGTAATATATGGTATACTTGCACTCAAACATAAAAATGTTGCCAAAGTCAGTTGTGTAGATGACCAATTATAAATATCAATATTTTTTTCTGTATCATGGATACACTGAAACAAAAAGTGATCTATAGAGCAAATGTAGATCTCTCAATCGAAAATGTCATAAGAGAGATCGCAGCACATTTAAGCCTCAAATGAACTTGATTAAGATAATCGAGTGTCAGTTTCTGTATCATGGATAAACTGAAACAAAAAGTGATATATAGAACAAATGTAGATCTCTCAATCGAAAATGTCATAAGAGAGCTCGCAGCACTTTTAAACCACAAATGAAATTGATCAAGATAATCGAGTGCCAACTTTTGTAACATGTAAAATTGAAACAAAAATTGATCTATAGAGCAAATGTAGATCTCTCAATCGAAAATGTCATAAGAGAGCTCGCAGCACTTTTAAGCCATAAATGAACTTGATTAAGATAATCGAGTGCCTTCTGTATCATGGATAAACTTACGGAAGTGAAATTTATCTGTTTAAACGATTTATTTTCGTATAATGTTTAGAAAAGATATTAAAACATAGATTATGGATTATGAACTTTGGTGAAACATATAATTAATGAAGATTTTAGCCTTTATTTTTTATTGTGACTAACATCAAGTCTAGATCTTGAATATAAAAATTATATAGTATATTTTTGGACAGCATTTAAAAGAATTATGTATGGCTATGTGGTATAAAAGAATGTTTTGTATTGTTTCATATTTACACAAACATATATATTTATTTAAAGAAATTTATAAATTGAAATAATTTTTTTATTTTAATTTAATTAATAAACAATATAAAGAAGTTTATAAAATAAATAATGACTTACCGTTTATATTAATGCCCGACAAATAACACCTCATTAAACGTTGAATAAAATGCATAACTGTTGTTGTTGTATTTCTATATATAAGTCTGTCGACTATATAGAAAGTAGGGAGAAATAAGAAATAAAAAAAAAATAATTTTTCAATTTATTCACAATTTAATACTTTCATCAAAACACTAACAAATTTATAAACACCACATCCATTTCACATATATTTTCTTTATTTTTTTTTGTGTATAAAATAATATTTCTATTAGTATACAATGTTGTTGTTGTAAGAATAATTCAATGCTTTTACCACAGCAACAACAATTTACCTTATATTTTTTTTTTTCAAATCAAAGTTACTAAATCACACATATTCCTCTATTACTTTTTCCCCACATTTTATCATTTTAACGGCAAAATTTTCAACACGCCTATGTTGTGTACTTGTAAGTTGACAACATTAGACAAAAACAATGCATTTATTTTGATATTCTTTGTTGCTAGAAGACATTACAATTGCGTTTATGTGACGTCATTACAGCATCATTCATTCATTTTTTTATGTTATTACCGTTTTTATTCAAATCATAGAATGTGTATTTATGTATTAATTTACTATTTGAATATTAATATAATAAAATTTCTTTATTCGTATTTTTAACACAATTTTATTCATTTTTATTAACATATTCACATATTTATTTAAATAAAAATATAACACCACAATTTTTTCCTTTTAATTAGTTCATTAAATTCTTAGAAAACAATATACTTAAATGACTTCAATATACATATACATTCAATATACATTTTAAAAATAAGCATTTAAATATTATTTTAAGTCCATTATTATTAAAACACGCAATGACTATTTTATTTTATAAATAACGAGTCAATCTTTTAAATTAATTATTCAATAATTATCAACTCTCATTAGCGCAATTACTCCGTACCGACCATCGAATGCGACTAACTTAGCTTTCGTGCTTAAAGTCCAGTGCAGATGTTTGTTATTCCTTCTTTACACAAGCTTCAATTATATGCGTGAAATGATCACTCTTCACTCAAAAATAATACATTCTACATATATGTATATAGAATATATTATTTTTGCTTCAGATTATACCGTTTCGTAGTTTTATATTACTACTTATAAAAACAGAAAATAGTACTATTGAATATTAACCCTTTTTTTAAACTATAACAAATTTATATTACCTACTATTACCTGAAATATATGATAGTCTACGTAGTCTATGTAAATTATAGTCTATGATAATTATTCCACTTGAGTCCCAACATATGGAAGGCAAAATTTTTCCAGCCGATTGTTGAGTTCGTGGTCGTTTGGGGCACTACCTCCGGGCTCTACCCATTCTCTGGCTTATTGTTTTCCCTCAGCTGTGAAGTAATGGATCTATGTTTCAGTAATTGTCATTACTCGAAACTCACAGTCAGCTAGATTGTGTATAAACATTTTTAAATAATGTTTTGAATGACGAAATCATTCTCGTTTGAGATCAAATGCTGCACCCATCTTGCCGAAAGCTTAATACCCAAATATTCATATAAAATATTCGATACACGCTCATATGATATGTTTGTCATCTTTGCTATCTCACGCAATTTAATTTTTGGATTATCCAACACAATTTTCAATCTTTTTTTCAGTTGTGTCCACTTTTGAATGACCCGTACGCTCTTCATCAATAACACTCGTACGATCACATTTAAATTCAGTTTTCCAATAATTTATTGTTGTTAGAGATGGGGCAAGATTGCCATAAACTAAATCCATTTCCAATTTGATTGCATCGTTGTTCATTCCCTTCAAATGGAAGAATTTTATTATTAAACGATTTTCAATTTTTTTCATTTTATAAAAAATCACCAAGGTGCAGTATTTCATTATTGGCAAAAAGCTAACCAAACATCTGATAAGATCAAAACTTTTACAACTGTCGTTTAAAACTTGTCAGATGTACAATATATAATTGATTTTGTTCTGACGTTGCCACCTGTTGTGAAGTCTGGTAATTATCAAAACACCTAGTATTACTTATATCGTTTCCGATTGACATATCTAGATTTGCACTCGATCTATTATTTTTTGCTTTAATTTTGTGGCTCAATCGAACATGTTTAAGGTAATCTCAACAATCAGAGATTAACAATCTCAATTGTGAAATAACATAAAACAGCTGTTAATTTCAGAATAATTTTATTCTTCTGGCAAAATATCTAGAGTGTTATAAACTAATCTCAAGTGTTATACATTTTGCCTGAGGTTAAACAATCGACAATAAAAACTGTACTAAAAGTAAATCTCGTGTGAAAAATTTACTTTAGATTTACCAAAATGGAAAACGAGATAAGATAATAGTGACTCAAAATATATTTGAATTAATTATAACAGAATTTTAATTGTTCTATATAATATATTTTTTAAATTATTTCTCTAAATATATTTTTTAATTAATTATAAATTTACTATACAATATATTTAATTATTATATGTAATAAAATCTTTTTGTTTGAATTATTTATTTAATATTTAATAATTAATTATACATAACAGTATATTTTATATTTATTTGTTATTAATAATTGCAGCGATCTAGAGTTTGGTTTCTAGGCGCTAACCTCCAATGGGGCATTATAGATTATCCTAAAATGCAGCTGCGCCGCGATGTACTCTTCTCATTTGCAGATGTACT